GACCAGCCGTGAGGACGGCCACGCACGTCTCAGTAAGACCATCAGGAGGATTTCGAATGAATAACTAACCCTGGGCGTCCCAATTCTTTGAATGTAGCACTTCAGGATTTAAACAAACTCCATGTGAAAAATAAACATTTATTACAAAAATTGGTTTTGACATTCCACGAGGGGCTGTTGTAAGCCTCAGGGGTCAATTCCAAGGCTGGCAGCGCGACTCCTACCAGCGAGGGATGGGAGAGCCTCAGGCCCCCCGAGCCTCCTCACTCCAGCCCGACGCAGACCTGGGGCGCACTTGCCTTTCCTACTGAACCATTTCTTCATCTGTTTTCACTGCCTAATTAGATTTTTATCTCCATGTGGAAACCTGTTTTTATTGGCTCGTGACCCTGACCTGGTGGTGGTTTTGCCTTTTGGATCCTGTGTAGAAAACTCAGCTCTGTCTGGGGTTTCCAAGCAAGGCAGCAGAATGTGGCAAAGTGGTGCTTGGAATCCTCCACAGCAATAAAGCAAAATCGATGCTAGAAAAGCCCGTATTTGCTAGTTATTCAGTAGACTGAGTGCTGGTGGATGGGGAAACAGTAATTTAAGAACAAGAAGGGCTGGAGTGGGAAGAGCAAGGGGAGGCCGGGCAGGCTGCGCCCTCTCCCTCTCTCCCTCTCTCTCTCTCACACACACACACACACACACACACACACACACTCACCCTCCTCTCAAGTGATCTTTTCCTTAAACACCCACCCCACTAAGTAAAATTAACTAGTAGTAACTACTATAAACACCTGCTAAAGATGCAGTTCTCCAAACATCTGAGAAATCCAGCCATGGGGTCTGGAGCACTTTTTCCTGTAGCCCGGAGAAGTCTATTAATGCATCTGGTTGGCAGAGGTGGAGGGCGGACACTTGCTCCCCTAGGGGGTGATCAGAGAGCCCAGCACTGCCTTGCAGAGGAGCCCTTGCCAGCAGGGGGGGGCCGCCACAAGAGGGCTCTGGAATGAGGGGCATAGGTTCCGGAAGCTCAGCCTGGAGACAGGAACCAGGAAGGGTGGGGCAGGGAGCTGGGGCCAGCCCAGGTTGCTGGGAAGCAGGGTTTTAGGTATTTCCTTGTTTGTACAAAGAAGGAGCCAAAGAACCTCTCTCTCCCACTCACAACAAGAAGCTTCAACAAACCAAGTTTTTATTTCCAGCAACATCCAAACACACACAAACACAATCTCACCAAAGAGCTAGGAAGCCCTCCAACACACACTCCTGTCCAGAGCTGAAGCCACACACGCTGCTCGCAGCCACAGCTGGAAGTCTGTCCAGTTGTTCAGCTACCAGCTCCAGCTTTTCCCATAGGTCAGTACTTTTGAAATTCTTCTTCACGTCCCCCGAAGCTTACTATACTCTCCACAGCCCAGGCTCCCGTGTTTCCTACAGACACCGCTGGTGTCAGTCTGCTCATGTGCAGGACAGTGCAGGAGGACCCAGTGGACTTCCCAGGGAAGACAGAGATGGAAGAGACTGATGTCATCACCAAACAACCGTTTCAGCTGCTTGTCCCCATCCCCACTCTAGAACAGCTGGTGCTGGTCCTCAGTGTGGGAGGAAGGAGCCGAGGATACCCCTACTCTAGGGCCACTGCACACAGGAGGGGTGGGGAGGTGCGTGCCCTCCATTCCTGCCGTCTCCATGGAAAGGAAACCAACAGGCATCGCCAGACGCCTGCTGGATCCCACGTAGGGACAGGGAATGAAAGCTTCACACACGTCCAGGCCACTCAGCAGCACAGGGAGAGGAGGGGACGAAGGACAGGGGCTCATAGCCGACATTATTAAAAACACACCCCAGTGAAGACACAAGGGGGCCCTGTGGGGCCAGAAGATAAACAAGGCATCCAGTGAAATTGCAGACTCCAGGGCGAGAGTCTGGTAGCACCCGAGCAAGGCTGGACACAGGACACGAGGGTCACACCAGGAATGACGAGGTCTGTCGGAATTCCCCCTGGGGAAATGAAGCACCCAGTCAACTCTCTAGTCTTCTTTAGCTCATAACCCCCCGAACACATAACACAGGCTGGAGAGCCCTCCCTCAAGCCGGGACACTCACTTCACTTCGGGCAGTGGGCTGGCTGTAAATGACCTTCTTACTCTCGGTCCTGTAGACAAGCCAGAAGACACATTCAGACCCCGAGTCCCTCTCCTTAACCTCGCTCGCCAACTTTTGACATCAGAACTGAGAACTTTACAGAGTCATGAGTTCTCGGTGTGGGAACGTGGGGGGTAGAGGGAGAAAGGACAGCTCAGAGCCATGATGAACAGGTAGGAACTCAGATGTCTCCCACCAGGCGGTGGCCTCCACCTGCAACCCCCTTCCCTTGGGCCCATCTCAGTATCACGCCAACACATCCATGTCTCAGGCTTGGAGACCCCAGCGCAGCCCCTCACTCACCCTTTCTTCTTTCCTGAAAGAGAAGAAATACACCGTGAGGATCAGCAGGATGGAGGGCAGGAACCAGCACATAGCTCTGAGGAGTGGGCAGCAGGGCTCCCTTGGAGAGGAGCCTGCTCCCATGGGCTCAGCATCAGGGACAGCACTCACACAGCACCCAGGACTGAGCCCTGACATGGGGACAGCAGGAAGGAGAGCCTTTGAGGGCAAGTACTTACTATCAAAGTAGCCTCGGCTATAGGCGAACCAGATGCCGAAAATCAAGCCTCCAAGGAGAATGAGTGTTACCAGGACAGCTGCCACGATGCCTCCCACGTTCAGCTCCACTATGAGGTGCAGACGAGAGGTCAGGCACACGAACGCTCACGCATGGTTCCCACTACACCGCCCAAGCCAGCGCAAAAAGCAGACCCCAAGCCCCACCTCAAGTCTGAGCTCTAGCTCCTGCCCCATCTGCCCGTGCTCACCTGCCTCCATGCGCACAGCGTCGGACATCATGGGTGCTCCATACCCGTTCTGTGCCTGGCAGGTGTACTCTCCAGTATCGGAGGCTGTGACGGGATCAAAGACCTGAGGGCAGAAAACACATCCACACCCTACCCAAAGAAGCCAGCCCCTACCTTCTATGCCAGGGGACCAACACCCCGCTCACCTTGCTGCCTGCTCTTCCTCCCCACTTTCAGAGTCCCCAACCCCACTCACGCCCACCCATCCATACCAGCTCCCCTGTCTTGGGGTTCAGGCTGTAGGAAGAGTTGCTGAAGACACGATTTCTCTTGGGCTCCAGGGGCATCAGGGTCCCATCCCTATACCAGAGGTACTCAGAGGGTGGGGAACCATCTGTCTCTGAGCAGGTCAGCACTGCCCGGCTCCCAATGGTGGCAGAGGAGGGGATGTTGACTGTGGGTTTGGATGGAGGCACTGGAAAGGACAGAAGGTGCTGATCACAGGGCAGGAAGGGCTGCTGGGAGGCTAAGTAGCTGATAAGGGTGACACCCCAGCTACCAGCTCTGGCTGCCTGCCCTCCCTCCCTCCCTCTCTGTCAGCAATGTGACTCTGAGTTCCCCACCCGAGAATATCTGCACCATCAATGAGCTCCAAGGCTCAGTAGAGCCTACAAAGCATTGGGGGAAGCAAATGATTCCAAGTCTGAACAGAAGACTCATGGCACATACCAAGCACAATGAGCTGGACGCTGACCTCCCCATAAGCGGTACCGCCTTCATCAGAGACCATGCACGTATACATCCCCGTGTCCTTCCGGGTCACTGAGTGGAAGGTGATGCCAGTATTTGAGAAGGTGACTCGGTCTTCAAAGGGAGCTGTGGGGAGAGGAAACCAGGGTAGAGGGAGCTGGAGAGCTGACAGAAGCTGGTGATGATGGCACCAAGGCACCCAGGAAGGGAGGTGGGAAGGCCATAGGGACTTGAGCCCCGGGTGTGCCCCTCCCTGGAATCCAGGCAGATCTACCCCAGGTGGAGGACTCACCTGTGATCTTGTTGTTATAGCAAACGAGGCTCGTGATGTCACCTTGAGCAAACTTCCACTCCACTCGGGGCGAGGAGAAGTCCGAGTAGGTGCAAGGCAGCTTGGCAGCTGCAGACAACATCCACATGAGTGGGAGGAAGAGGCAGTGACAAATGGAGAGGACAGGACAGTCATCAGAGCCAGAGACATCCACTGACTCCACTCCCCTCCCCTCCACAGCCCCTCTCAACTCACGTTTATTCTCAGGAACTTTGACTTCAGGACTAGAAGTGTACACCTTTCCCCTGCCCAGCGCCAGTGAGCCTGAGGAGGAGAGGTGGTCCCGTCAGGAGTGGACAGAGAAGCCTGGCAAAGGCATCGAGGCTGGGCCTTTCCATGCAGAGATCCCAAGCTCCTGCCGGTCTCACCCTCTGGCTGATATCTTAAATAATGTTCTCCAAATGCTTTTTGCTACAACTGCAGGTCAATACTTCTTTTATCAGTAGAAATAAAATATTTCTTTCAAATGCAACTTATTTCATTTTTTATCCCCCCGCCCCCCTCTGCCGTCACTCCCAGTAATCTAATTGGATTCCCAGTAGCCGAGAGCAGCTTCCCCAGCGGCTCTTCAAGGTTCACAGACAGCTTCTCAACAATCGCAGCCACTTATCCACAATCCTGGCAGGAAGACAGCGGGACAGGGGGAGGCTTCTCGGCATTTGTGAAATACACCATATCTGGTGTATTTCAGCATGTTTTCCACATACATGATATCGCCTGATCCTTAAAACAAGCATGATAGACCAGAGGACAGGTACTATTATCCCAATTTACACAAGGAAGGTGACATGCTTCGGGTCACATAGCTGGTTCTGAGATGAAGCCGGGACCAAGTTGGGCTCAGATCATTTCATCAGCATCTCCCCCTGACCAAAGGACAAGGAAAGATGGTTTATGGTGGGGGTGGGGAGGGGCAGAGAGCAAGGCTAATTAAATAGCTAGGTAAGAGGAGGCAGAAACTTCACAGGAGGGGCCACCCCTCACATAAGCCCCAGGGACCAGGATACTGGGAGAGAGGGGGGCACTGACACAATTACATTCATTCCTGTTCTCAACAGGCAAACTCATGAAGCTTTACTTGTAGCCTTAAGTCACAGTCCTGCCTTCTTAGATAAACACAAACACATCTCATACATACAAGTGTATTTTCCCTTTATTACATAACTAAGCATGGTCCCTTAACCTCTGAGGCTCCCTTTGCTCATCTGAACTATGAAGGTATGAACTAGATGCTCTCTAAACTCTTTCAGTTTCTCTCTCTCTGGCATTAATGTCTATGTACATTTATTTTGATTTGACAAACACTGTGAATTAATCTGATAAGTCTTCCCCCCCTCCATTTTACAGATGAGAAAATTAACTGTCTTCCAACTGGCCCCAGCTTTCCCAGCTCACTCCTACACTCCGTTTCCCCTTACTTTTACAAACCACGCTGTTTCTCAGAAAAGCCACTGGTGTAATGGAGACAAACTGCAATAAAATACCATTCTTTTAAGTCAGGCCCATCTGACTTATAAAGTCTTTCTAAAAATATTACCCTGTATCTGTATATTTGGCATTACACTTTAATGTCAAATCGACAGAGGCTGCTCCGCAACACTGCAGGAGCTGTCCGAAGCCTTCTGGGGACTTCTCTTGCTGATTCTGCTTCCTTCTCTCCTTCCCACAGATGTGGATCCCAAGAGCACTCCGTAATAAATGTCTTAGTACAATAACTGACATCACAGAGTCAGCTTCCCAAAAACCCAACCTATGGCACCACCCAAATAAAGAACATAATTAAACTGAAAACTAGCCTTTGAAATAAAGGGCAACACTAAACAAACAAACAAAAATCCTTTAGCTAAAGTTCCCTTTTGAGTCCTCTCAGATAACTGGGTCCAAAACACACTCAGGAGTCACACCGATACCATAGGCGTCTGCTGCCCCCATGGCCTGCCTAACAATACTCAGCACCCTCTGTAGCTCTGCATCCGGCCAGGACTCATCCAGCCTCATCACCACGCCCTTCCTATCAACACAAGACTTCTTGGCCATCCTGGTCCAGCCCCCTTTTCTCATTCCCCAACCAGCTACTGGGACCAGACTGCTTGCATTCAAACCCCATCTGTTACTGAATAGTCTGTGCAACCCGGGCAAGCCACTTGGTCACTTTCAACCTAAGTTTGCCCATTTGTAAAAAGGGGATAAACACTGTTTCTATATCAAAAGGCTGTTGCACCCGGCCCTGCATGGCTCAGTGGTTGAGCATCGACGTAGGATGCAGAAGGTCATGGTTCTATTACCCGTCAGGGTACATGCCCGGGTTGCCAGCTTGATCCCCAGCAGGAGGCGTACAGGAGGTAGCCGATCAATGAATCTCTCTCCCTCTCCCTTCCCCTCTCTGAAATCAATAAAGATATATTAAAAAAAAAAAAGGCTGTTGCTGAGAGTTAAACAAGTTCATACAAAGTACTTAAAACAATGTTTGACCCATAGGAAGCATCAAATAACTATTATAGCTTCTTTCACCATCATCCGCCCATAGCTCCTTCTGCACACACTTCTTTTGAATTCAATGTTTTCTTCAAACAGACATAAATAAATATAAATACCACCTGAAAAAGTCTCATACTCCAGCCCACCAAACCATCTCTCATCAGCGTAACTCACAGACAGGCCAGCGAGCGAAGGGAGGCACCCCCCCACACAGGCACCCATGGTCTCCTGCCCACCTCCTCACCACTCCTTTGCCTCATCTCGCCCCCCCTTTTTTTTAAATTTTATTTTTGTTTAAAATATTACAGTTGTCCTTTTTTCTCCCCAATGCCCCGTTCCACCCCAGTCCCTCTCCCCTCCCCAGTCCCTCTCCCCACCACTGTCCATGACCTTGGGTTGTGCATATATGTATATAAGTTCTTCGGTTACTCTCTCCCCCTCCACCCACCCGCCCTCCTCCATCCCTCTGACATTCGTCAGTCTCATCCATGCTTCCATGTCATTGAATCTATTCTGTTCAGCTGTTTATTAAGTTCTTTAGATTCCACATATAAGCGAGATCATGTGATGCTTGTCTTTCTCTGCCTGGCGTATTTCACTCAGCATAATACTCTCCAGGTCCATCCATACTGTCCCAAAGGGTACCAGATTCTTCTTCTTTACAGCTGTGTAGTATTCCATGGTGTGAATGTCCCACAGCTTTTTTATCCACTCACCTACTAATGGGTACTTGGGCTGTTTCCAGATCTTAGCTATTGTGAACTGTGCTGCTGTGAACATCGGGGTGCATATATTCTTTCTGATGAATGTTTCAGGATCCTTAGGATACATTCCTAGGAGTGGAATCACTGGGTCAAACAGCAGCTCCATTTTTAATTTTTTGAGGAACTTCCATGCTGTTTTCCACAGTGGCTGCCCCAGTCTGCATTCCCACCAGCAGGGTACTAGGTCCCCCTTTCTCCACACCCTCGCCAGCACATGTCGTTTGTTGATTTGTTGATGGAGCCATTCTGACAGGTGTGAAGTGACACCTCATTATGGTTTCAATTTGCATCTCTGATGATTAGCAACGTAGAGCATTTTCTCATATGTCTCTTGGCATCTGTGTGTCCTCTTTGGAGAAGTGTCTGTTCAGGTCCTTTGCCCATTTCTTAATTGGGTTGTTTGTCTTCCTCTTGCTGAGCAGTATGAGTTCTTTGTACACTTTGGAAATTAGCCCCTTATCAGATGCATCCTGGGCAAATATGTTTTCCCAGACCGTGGGTTCCTTTGTATTTTGAGGCTGTTTTCTTTTGCTGTGCAGAAGCTTTTTGGTTTGATGTAGTCGCATGTTTATTTTTTCTTTTGTTTCTCTTGCCCTAAGAGTTGTATCAGTGAAAAGTCCACTACGTGGGATGTCTGTGACTTTACTGCCTATGTTTTCTTCCATGATTTTTATGGTTTTGTGACTTACATTTAAGTCTTTTATCCATTTTGAGTTTATTTTTGTGTACGGTGAAAGTTGGTGGTTCGTCCCCTTTTGCCCTTGACCTTGAACCTGTACCTGGCACACTGCACATACACCAATGTCTACACACCGGAACTGAAAAAACATCACATCCTTTCCGTTGTGATGTTTCATTTACTCTAACTTCACAGCAAGAAAAGCCACAAAGTCAAAGGCATCAGTCAATAGGCTTTCGGCCCTTTCACATACAGAAAACTTCACTTAATCTTGTACCTCTCTCTAGCTGGAATCCTTTTTTCCCTTTCTCTCCAAACTTCTTCAGGAAGTTGTCTACACACTGTTTCCGAGCAACACACCAATTTACCACCCCACCTACTCCAGCATGGCTTCGGCTCTGACATCCGAATTAAAATTGCTTTTATTGAGGTCACCAGCCATCATACTTCTCAATTCTAAGATGCCCTGATTATAAGATATAACATCGATTTAGTAAGAGCTTCTTGGGGGAAAATTAAACATATACACTGTATATGTTTATACAGTGTAAATAACATCCTAATTTCCAAAACATTAAAATAGTCTTAGAATCAAGAACATGCAGTATTTGCTTTTCCAGTTACCTTCTGTGGCCTTTGTAGGACATTTGCCCTGCCGATCGACCACCTTCCTCAGAGTTCTGTCTTACTCTCCTCCTTGAACTTCACTTCCTCTGTCCATCCCTCAGTGAGTGATCCCAGCACTCCATCCTGGGCCTTTTCTCCTCTCCACATCCTCCAGGAAATGCAGCCCAAAATCCATCCTCTCCACATTCTCCAGGAAATGCAGCCCAAAATCCAGGAAATGCAGCCCAAAGTCCATCTACACCCACCCCCGGCCAGCTCCAGCCACTACCTCTCACCTGAGCTGCAGACTCCCACCCCTGGGCCTCCTGATGTGGGCATAGACTTCCCACCACCCCCTCCTACCATCTCACACTGCTCACCATCCCCCACTACCACTACCTCTCTCTTCTGCTCCTCTCTCCAGGTCAGCAATCGTTTACTTGGTCACCTTCAGGCCACCACCATCTGTCCTACACTCTTAGTCAAACACCAAGCTTTACAATGCCATCTCCCAAATCTCCCTCAAGCTGGCCCTTTCTCTCCATTCCTGCTACTGCTTTTTAGTGCCATCACCATCTGAGGAATTCCAACTGTTCTCTGACTGGCTTCTCTCCTCCTTTAATCTCATTCAACCCAAACCCACCCCCTGTTCCACCGCCGAGGAAGAGCTACCATTTACTGAGCACTTATTATATGCCAAGCACTGCCGTGAGCACACTACACAGACCACTGTGTCACCCCTACAACCACCTTGGTCTTTGGGTAATAGGCGATGTGCCTTCCCAAAGTGCCAATCGAACAGTGGCTTCAAGCTTTCCAGGCTTCCACAGGGCCTGTAACACCCCAATTGTTCAGCACGGCAAGAATTCCCACACTGCTTGACCTGGTGATAAGCTTATCATCCATCCTCATCACCCTCTCAGCTCTTCCAATTTACCCCCCAGCAATAAAAAGCTGCATCCAGGCCCTGACCGGTGCTCAGTGGTTAGAATGTCAGCCCTCAGAGTGAAGGGTCCTGGGTTTGATTCTAATGGCTCAGTTTTAGGCTCAACCCCCTGGCCCCAGTCGGGGCGCATGCAGGAGGCAACCAATCGATGTGTCTCTTTCACATCCATGTTTCTCTCTCTCTCCTTTCCCTCCACTCTCCGAAAAGCAATGGAAAAATATGTCCTCAGGTGAGGGTTAAAACGAACACACACCTGCATCCAGTTCCAGAGAAGCTGAGCTGTTTCACAACACACTGCTCCTACCACACAGGCCCCAGGCCCCTTCCCCTTTCTCCACCCATGTTATTTTCCAGAAAACAACCTGCCCTCAGCAGAGCAAAGGCTTCCACTACCCAGTGCAAGACACTGTCAAAGCATGTCCCACATCGGAACATCGTCTGTGCCCAGGTATCTCTCTACCGGACGGTAAACTCCAGGGACCAGGGACCCATGTCATTTAGTGTTTTGAGCACTCAGCACGACGTAGGATGCCTGATCCGAGTGTGCAACAAACAGAGCCTCAAATCGGGTCACGGCAGACGTTCCCAACAGCATCTACTTGTTAAGGTTTATCTGCAAACATAAGCCCATTTTTCAAACTGGAAGACTGTTCGTGCCCAGGTAAAGAAAAAACAAGCTTGATTTAAAACCCAATGTTTAAAACAGTTTAATACTAGCAAAGGTTTGTGTTTTTCCAACTGTTCAGTTCTTGGGCGAAAAAATGTGTTCTATTTATCTTTTTTAAAACTTAGCTTCATAACTTAAAATTAAATGTTTTCAAATTTGCTTCATAGTTTTTGTTTTTTTGTTGTTTTTGTTTTTAATCCTCGCCGGAGGATATTTTTCCCTTTGCTTTTCAGAAAGTGGAAGAGAGAGAGAGAGAAACATCAATTGTTTGCCTCCCTTACCCGCCCCAACCCGGCCAGGGATCGAATGTGCAACTTAGGTGCATGCCCTTGGCGGGAATCGAACCTGGGACCCTTCAGTCTACAGGCCAACACTAACCACTGAGTCAAACTGGCCAGGCCTGTTGTTTTTAAATATATTTTAATTCATTTCAGAGAGAGGAAGGGAGAGGGAGAGAGAGAAACATCAATGATCAGAGAGAGTCATTGATGGGCTGCCTCCTGCACTCCCCCTTCTCCGGATCGAACCCACAAGGACATGCGCCCTGACCAGTAATCAAACCATGACCTCCAGGTTCATGGGATGATACTCAACAACTGAGCCACACTGGCTGGGCTGCCTCATAGTTTTGAAACAGAATGAAAGTTCTCTGCACAGAGGCAACCTCCCCCTTTCATTCGGCAGAGGGATTTCTGCACCTGGGCTGCAGTCTGTAGGTGTCTGCATGAAAATAGCAGAGACCATCTCCTGGAGGTGTGGGGGGTGAGGATCTGAATGTGGGGAAAGTTCCAGGCCCTTTGTAAATTTGTAAGGTAAGCTCTCAGCAGCGGGAATTGGTGAAAAAATGCATCCATTTGAAACACCCCCATTGTCTTCATGGCCAGAAGAGCACCAGGA